CAGTGACGAAGCCAATCAATCAGTTCTCTGGCAGTGTTGTCCTGGTCCATTGCTGGCCCTGCCTCTTTCTTGCTGTGTGAACTCCCATCTCTGGGCTTCACTTTTGCCAGGGGATGCTGTGAGTAGGGGTGTAATAGTGTAGCCGATTAACTGACAAGCAAAAGCTTATAAGTTCATGCTATAGACTACACACATTTCCCTCCCCCCACTCTGGCCAGTAAATTTTTTACCAGGAAGTTTACAAAAAGTGGAAACGCGGACGGATGACTAGGGAGGAATATAAATACATTGTTCGAGAATGCAGGGGAGTTATCAGGAAGGCGAAAGCGCAATTGGAATTTCAGCTAGCAAGGGATGTGAAGGATAACAAGAAAGGTTTAACAGGCATGTTAGCAAGAAGAGGGGGATCAGAGAGAGGGTGTGGGGCCCTTACTGGATGAGGGAGGTAACCTAGTGACAGATGATGTGGGAAAAGCTGAAGTACTCAATGCGTTCTTTGCCTCTGTCTTCACGGACAAGGTCAACTTCCAGACAAATGCACTAGACCAGCGTTTCTCTCCCAGTGGTACGAGTACCCTTAGGGGCTCTTGAGAAAAATCTGGGGGGTATGTCAACACAACAGAAATGTGGAGAAAACTGAATTTTTGTTTTAAGTTTTACCGTGCTTTATTATTTTTGTACTTTTGACACCCCAAAATTTCACCACCTGCTCAGCTACGATTAAGTTGTTTAAACAAATGTGTTGCAATGGTAGAAAACAATTGTCTGTGTGTGAAAACTGTCGGTACTGGGGATACGGATAATATTTTTTTAAAGGAGGTACTTTATAATAAAAGGTTGAGAAACACTGCACTAGGCGATGCAGTATGGAAAGGAGGTGGGCAGCCCTCGGAGAAAGAACAGGTTAGGAACTATTTAGAAAAGCTAAACATACACAAATCCATGGGGCCGGATGTAATGCATCCGAGGATACTGAGGGAGTTGGCAAATGTCATTGCGGAGCCTTTGGCCATTAGCTTTGAAAACTCGTGGAGATCGGGAGAGATCCCAGAGGATTGGGAAAAGGCAAATGTAGCGCCCATTTTTTAAAAAGGGAAGAAGGACGATCCAGGGAACTACAGACCAGTCAGTCTTACCTCAGTCCCCGGAAAAATCATGGAGGAGATCCTCAAGGAATCCATTTTGAAGCACTTGGAAGTGATCAGGAATAGTCAACATGGATTCACCAAGGGCAAGTCATGCATGACCAATCTAATTAGCTTCTATGATGAGGCTCTGTGGATATGGGAAAGTCAGTGGATGTGATAGACCTTGACGTTAGCAAAGCTTTTAATACCATCTCCCACAATATTCTTGCCAGCAAGTTAAGGGAATATGGATTGGATAAAGGGACGGTAAGATAGATAGAAAGCTAGCTAGACTGTCAGGCCCAATGGGTAGTGATCAACGGCTCAATGTCAGGTTGGCAGTCGGTTTCTAGCGAAGTGCCCCAAGGATTGGTTGTAGGGCCGGTTTTGTGGAACATCTTTATTAATGACCTGGAGGAGGGGATGGATTGCACCCCCAGCAAATTTGCGAATGACACTTGGGGGAGAGGTAGATACGTTGGAGGGCAGGGATAGGATCCAGAGTGACCTAGACAGATTGGAAGACTGGGCCAAGGGAAATCTGATGAGGTTCAACAAGGACAAGAGTAAAGTCCTGCCCTTGGGACGGAAGAATCCCAAGCATTGGTACAGGCTGGGGACCGACTGGCTAAGCAGCAGTTCAGCAGAAAAAGACCTGGGGAAGACAGTGGATGAGAAGCTAGATATGAGTCAGCAGGGTGCCCTTGTAGCCAGGAAAGCGAATGGAATATTAGGGGGCATTAGGAGGAGCATCGCCAGCAGAGCTAGGGAAATGATTATTCCCCTTTATTCAGCACTGGTTAGGTCACATCTGGAATACTGTGTCCAGTTTTGGGCCTCCCACTACAGAAAGGATGTGGACGCATTGGAGAGGGTCCAGTGGGGGGCAACCAAACTGATGAGGGGGCTGGAGCACATGACCCACAAAGAGAGGCTGAGGGATTTGGGTTTGCTTAGTCTGCAGAAGAGAAGAGTGAGGGGGGATTTGAGAGCAGCCTGCAACTCCCTGAAGGGGGGTTCCAGAGAGGATGGAGAGAGGGGACAGACGGCAGAACGAGGAGCAATGGGCTCAAGTTACAGTGGGGGAGGTCTAGGTTGGAGATTAGGAAAAATTATTTCCCTAGGCAGGTGGGGAAGCGCTGGGCTGGGTTCCCTAGGGAGGGGGTGGAGTCTCCATCCCTAGAGGTGTTTAAGTCTCGGCTTGACAAAGCCCTGGCTGGGTTGATTTAGTTGGGTTGGTCCTGCCTTGGGCAGGGGGGCTGGACTTGATGACTCCTGAGGTCTCTTCTAGCTCTATGGTTCTATGACAGGCAGCTGGTCCACATGGGGAGCCGGCTTTTAAACTGGCCCCTGGGGACTAACCAGTAAAAATTCATGCGGTTACTTGACTGTTCAACTAACTGATATTTGACATCCCTCGCTGTGAGGTTTTGATGCCTTCGTTGTGAAGCGCGGTGAGGGCTCCTGACCAAGGCAAGGCAGGAAAGACTCTTAAAACCAGGCAGCCTTTGTCCTTTGCAAAATCCACTCCCGCTCCCCCGTTTCCTCATCATCTTTATGCATGTTGCTAATTGCTTCTTCATTAGAAATGATGTGAACAGCCAAAGGCCCAAGGTGCATGACTCACCGCTGTCTTCTACCCCCAAATTCCCCCTCTGGATTGGTTTCCAGGAACATCCTAGCCACACCCCGTGTCGGCCAGTGGGAAGATAGATGTACGGGTGTGAAGAGTGGAGGGGGAGTGTTCCTTTCATTCCATCTCTTCCTCTTTTACTCTGATTGTGCATCTCCGGCCCCATCCCTCATGGCCTGGTGGGCTGGCTGCCACACCCCAGACCTGCTCATCCTCAGACCCCATCTGTAATGAAGCTCATGCTCTCATTGTCTGCATGAACAATCTCTGTAGCTGTGATTCACCCCTACACACGGCAGCTTCACCAGCGGTAGCCAGATGGGGCAGATGACATAATGCTAAAAACACACGTACTCTCTTTAATCTCCAGTTTCCTCCATTGCTGGCTCTGGAGAAGCTGCGGCCAAGAAATGGGCTAGGGTATGAAACAACCTACATGTGTGTAGTTAAGATCCGTAGGGCAACAGCTGCAACCCCGGAACCCCCAGACTCCTAGCAGCTCTGCCCACATTGGGGTTGCAGTAAAATTCTCCCACTGGACAGTTTGTGTGTGGGGTGCCTCCAGGGGATTTTGGGGAATGGGGGAGGTGCTCAGTGGATTTCAGGGGTCAGCAAGAGGAGCTTAGGGATCAACGAGAATGGGGGTGCCAATGGATTTGGGTTCAGAGGGTTGCTGGGGGTGGAAGTCAGGGGTTGGTAGGATGGAGATTGGGGGATCCAGGAATTTGGGTTCAGTGGGGGGTGGAAGTCATCAAGACATAAGATCAGTCACACTGGGTCAGACCAATGGTCCACTTAGCCCAGTGTCCTGTCTGCCATCAGTGGCCCGTGCCAGGTGCTCGGGGTGCCAATGGATTTGGGTTCAGAGGGTTGCTGGGGGTGGAAGTCAGGGGTTGGTAGGATGGAGATTGGGGGATCCAGGAATTTGGGTTCAGTGGGGGGTGGAAGTCATCAAGACATAAGATCAGTCACACTGGGTCAGACCAATGGTCCACTTAGCCCAGTGTCCTGTCTGCCATCAGTGGCCCGTGCCAGGTGCTCCAATGCGAAAGAAAAGAACATGTGATTCATCAAGTCAGTAGGACGGGGAGGGGCGGACGAGGGGGG